CTTGTGATAGCTTCCACATCGCAAACAGCGTCGAAGGAGTTAACAAGACGAAACAAAGCCAAAAATTAGATTTTGTATCCCTTTTCCACTTAATTTCTACTGTCCACAGTAGTGAAGCGTGTATACGGTGCGGCCATGCTTTTTCTAAAATTTCAAAACCCTCATGCCTTGGCTAATAAAGTGAAACTTGGCGTGTAAAGATTTAGCTCGACTATCTTTGGGACTGATTGCGTGAAATTGGCTGTAGAGGAAAACTGAACTGCTGTCCTACACCATGTCTAGGACTTGAAATGTTGAGCGTCTTTCTATACGAGTACTTGGCGTAAGTGTAGATGGTCAAGTATGGCTACGCCTTAGATTAACGCCGCACTAAATGTTCAATTTGCGATTCGTAACAACTACTCTGACATCGGACTAGATGGACCCACGACTTTAAAATTATCAAGCGACACTAAGTTTCGAAATGGGCGCTCTAGAGCAACTTCTTCGGGGATAGTTTCTATAGATACTTGCGGCGTAGTTGTAATCGTCATTTGATGTCTATGCAAGTTGGTGGTTGGCACCAGCTCAACGTTCTCCTCTTCCCGGAATGTGGTGTCAGTACATGTTGATAAGATTTTGTCCATGGAGAGGTTTAGGCGACAGTCCTAGTGGCTCCTAATCTTCAACGTAGTAGAAGTTCAAATCAGAGTTTACATTCCTTGCTATAAAAATTCCAAGAAAAATGGTAAAGGCGTGAAACATGTTTTGCGAAGTAGCACCCACATTATCCTACCTGAGCAATTACTCAGCCCATTTACATGCTGCCTTCCGTGGCTGATACTTCAATTTTTCTGAACCTATTTTTGAGCTTCCTTCTTCATCACTTCCCAATTAGGATCTTTTAAACGCAGTGTAGCCGTAACCTCGTGCCAACGAACGGCACCTACTCTGAGGTGGCTCCGACCTTCTTCCTCAGGGAGGAATTCTGCGCTAACTCCCATGATCTCAAACCCGACGTCCGATCTTTTTTCGATAGGTCCGATCCTTCTATTTTATAAAGCGCTTACTTGTGTGTCGGTTTGTATGTATGTATGTATGTCTGTCCGTCCGCAAAATGAAGTGAGTGATAAGGAAGCTCATGGGATAAACAAACCGCTAACAAATCGGGTAGCTACAGGATTTGAGATATCAATGTTTTGTAGCAGGATAGTTGTGATAACACTCCTAGGGCTATATAAACACCTGCTTAGCACACTTCCGTTCATTCCACATGGTGCTGCAGTGGCAGCTGGAGGGCAGTGGAGGAAGGAAGGAGGATGGGGAAGGGAGGCGAAAAATCTACCGTCACGTTATGATTATGGCGATGAACTCTACTATATGAAACTCCTTTTCTGTAGCATACGCGTCACCTACGCGAGGTGTTGGTGGAAGGGACCACAGCGAAAGACGTAAAGTTTACGCAGGAAAGGAAGGTCCCGGCGGTTGACGGGGGACTAATCTGGTTTTGTCGATAACAAAGGTGTAGATTTGGATGAGCAAGCACTTTAGTTTAAAAAAAATTAGAATTGAAAAATAGCCAAAGTGATTCTCTATTTATGGAACAACTTAATGATTAAGGCAGGGAAAATAACGGATCTTGGAAATTTTTGTTTGAGGAATCTTGTTTTAAACTTATGGAAGATTTCATATGATAAGCCGCAATTTAAATTTGTACTTTTGACTCTCACAATGAGAGTTTCGAAAAAGTTTTATTCGAACTTTTCCATTTTCGAGAATTTTTGAATCATTTTTTGTTTTTACTTTGTCGATAAATGCAAAAGTAAGTGAATGGAAGTCTGACAAAATTTTTCATGACAATTTCATCTCATTTCAGAACTCATTGTAAAGATACAACAGTAACTGTGGAGGTATCAGATGCGGGAACAGGAACGTTCGATATTGACGGATTGGGACTGCACGATTTTCGGCATCTCATTGCCAGGTTCGCTATTGAAAGATGTATTGGGCAGAACTTCTTGTTTCACTTACTTATTGAATCGTGAGGGTTTTTAACATAGGCAGGAATAGCGCTTTGTACAATTTCATTTGTTCAAAATCTAGATTTAATAATTTCTGATGATCACAGATAGAGGATATCCTTCTTGTTAGTCTCCGTTTGAGGGCACGTGCGAAAAGTAGACAAAACTACTCTTTCAATCCCGTCCCTTCAAATCAAAAATTTGAAAAAAAGGACGGGCAATAATATTAAGAGTTAAAAAACGTCTTATTAGGGATGGTGGCTGGTAAAAAGCTTTTGGAGTAGATTTATGATATACTCAACAGTTAATTTCATTTCAAATTCTTCAGTTATTATTTGATTTCTGACAATGCTGTAAATATCAAAATGTGTAGATTAAAACTATGTAGCGCTCTTCGTTAAATACTGTTCTGGAATGAGCCATGCACTCGACATACATTCAGGGTATTGAGCGCATATGAATGCATTTTAACCCTTGCTGGTCCTGCAAGGTTAGAAGATGTTTGTTTTATAGGGGAGAGAAAAATAAGTCGTATTCATGTCAGATAGTGCTTGTCGTCCTTACATCTCTTCAAATGAGCTACGGCGAGTCGTAGAAGCGCCTCAGGAGTATTTGGCTGGTTCTGGAGGATTTCATGAGCATTCTCGTTATTCGAGGTAAAATTAGAAGGTTGAGGCCAAGGAGACAGAGATCAGAATCAGATTTGCAAAGGAAGCTAATTGTCATCCTTAGAAGGATTGGCTTTTCCTTCTAGTCTTTGACCGTCTTACTACATATTGCAGCGCTCCCTGTGATGTAAGGAGGAAAAACAGACTCTGGGCATGCGCAGAGAAATCGGAAAACGTTAGAGACGCAGAGGATCCGTTATTATTTCCCAAGTTCTGCGCGCAGTCAGTCGTCTATTTCCATTTTGCTTTCGTGCTCGCTTCATTTCTTTTTACTCGGTTTCGCCCCCAGGCATCACTGGCCAAAACATATCAGTAGCGATACGTCGTTTTTCATTTCTTGGGAGATGACTTTTAGTCTTTCCCGCCTTTCGCAAGCAACAAACGGGAATCCTCGTTCGCGTGAAACCAATTTCATCGCTGAAACAGCAGACGAATAGGGTGGAGCACGCGAGCAACGAGCCATTTGGGAACGATTGCTTGTGTTGGCATTGCTTGGGATCATAGTAGCAGCTTTGAAATATGCGCAGTATCCCATGATTTATTCTGGTATGTGTAGAGCAAGTACTCGGTGTCTTTCTTGGAGACTTTGGGTGGGTTACCACCAACCTTGCCTCGACTGCACTATTTTAATCATTCATTTGAAATCGGTCAATTTTTATTATGCTAGGCTTGCCCGAGAATTGGGAGGAAAAATGAGACAGTTAGATGGCCCGCTTGAGTTATTGCATATAGAATGCTCAATATGCAGTAGAATGCCCACGTTTCTGGATAGTTGTGACATGCATGGCGTATTCTGAACGGATTCTCAACCACAGTTCAAAATGCCGTTTTGTTTTTTTAATGAGCCGACTTTACGAGTAGCAGGAGATGAACTCTTTTTTTTACGAATACGTAACGGCTTACTTGTTGTAATGAAACCGGTTGAACTTAATCAGAAATGCGTACTTGAAAAATATTTAGGGGAATGCAAAAGTATTCGCTAACGTGTTCGTAATTTGCTATTTTTCTTTGAAAATCTTAGAAAATCAGATTTGAAGTTTGACTAAGAATTCGGTTAATTTTTCAAACCCAAATGGTCTAAGGATGAAAAGAAAATGAAAGACGTAATAAATCAAAATGCAGCGATAGTGTCTTCAGTAAAGTATCTTATCCGTGCCAACGAAAAAAGCCCCTCGGCCAAATATTCGTAAGTCCTTAGTACGAAATCCCCCCATAAAGAAAAACCTGCTACACCCGAATTATGACCAATACTGAAGATTGTGGAATTTTTACTTTTTTGTCAGCGATCCGCGGTGATATCGTAAAACATGGCTTAATGACTGCAATGCATTCAAAAATGCGGCAAACATTTTTACTATTTTTTTCTTCGTTCTTCATTCCACTTTTAGGGTTCTGCCTCTGGAGAAGAGAGTTAAAATCTCTAGAATGCATGGGCAATTTTCTTTTCTCTGCATTTTTTCCCTTCCTAAGCCTATTCTTAGGGGAAGCACGACTTGAGAACTCTAATTTGAGTTTTGCCGGCAATTGAGAGGCCCTAAGCTGTGTCTGTGAGTACTTTCTTTGCTATAGAGTCGAGAAGAAAGGCCCGCGGAAGCGGGCACCAAGCCAGGCCTTTAATTTCTGGAAACGGCAGGCTATTTGCAGTACAAAAAGACTTCGGCATGTTGACATAATCTCGCCAAGGAGTCGGTCTCACGACCTCTTGTCTGTGAGCGCGGACCCCTACCGCTGCGCCTCTGCCTCACAATTCAGAGCTTCATTTAAATGGTGGGAAATACATGTCCGATGAGCGCCTCAGGGCGCGTGAAGATGAGCTGTTCACCCCAAGATAGGGCTTTGTCGAACACTTATTGTGTGTTTGAGCACTTTCTATTTGTGTTTTTAAAATATTAGGTACCGGATATCTTAGTGTCGTTTTTTCACCGCGAGTTTCGGACCACCAATATTTTAATTCAAAATCCAGTGAGTGAAACGGCATATCCATCGAAATGACTCATTAGCCCTTTCCCATTTACCAGTATGAGTGAAAACCTCGTACGATTAAAGTTAGGAATTTTTTGAGACGAAAAAGAGAGGTAGGTCGAATTTGACATCATCTGACAAATCATCCCTCTACCTTGCTAAACAGTTGGGCCTGGACAAAATATGTATACATTTAGTTAGAGTAGGGTCTGCACTGTTTGGTGGAAAATTTATTACTTACCAGCTCAACTGGACAATTTTTCCCGGAGTCTTTTTTGCCACATAGGGTCAAAAACGCACCCTTTTTGAGCACACGTGAGTAGCAGATGAGCACATTTATTAGAATTTCTTGGTCAATCAACTTCGTTAGAGCGTCTGTGCACCATCGATCAGTAACTGCTAGGGTGTCCTACCATTCCAGCACAAGACTGGTGCAGCCCCGTTTTGACTGATTTAGCTAGGACCACCTTTTTGGCGACGGTTGCGGGCATCCCTTCAAAGACTTTACTGTCTTTTAAGAAAACTGTGAAAAACCGATGAGCATTTTAAATGGTAGTATTCCCTCCATCAAATGCAATGCTGGTTTGGTGGGCGGAGGTTACAGCTCTCAGCAAGAATTTTGAAGCATTTGGTACACACATGCGAATTTGCACACTGGACCCAGGAATTTTCAAAGAAAGTATAAAAATTGGGGGAAAGTTAAATTGTGAACCAACAATAGAAGACGTAAGCAACATACAGTGCGCGTCAATTGTATATGCCACCCCCTGATTTTTTCAGTTTTCTGACTTATTTGGAAATTTCGTAAATCGGCATAGCAACCATCGGTTTCGGCGTGTCGGAAAACTAGGAACGGTGTTGTTTGATTTTGGTTAACGCGTGGATTTGATTTGCTCTGTTCTTTTGAAGAAAATGGGCCGCGTCAAATGCTTATGCCATCCTAAATTTTCTTCAGAATTTCTCATGTCTCTAACGCTATTCAGCTATGGTGTGCATGTAATACAAATGAGGAAATCCTCGACTCATGCAATGCACACAAATGGTGAAGCATTTATAACTGATTAGTTCGGAATATTAGCCTTTATACTGGACGGTAGCGGCATGAAAACGCTTTATCAGAGAAACAGCTGTGTGCTCACTAGTACGATCGCTCCTGCTGCTTGTTGTAGAACTCAACGAGGAGTGTATCCAGGCAAAACTGGGGAAATTGAAGTGCTCAAGGAACTCTTAAATCTCATTTTCCCGCTTCGAATCCGTGGTCAACTTTTTTTGTGGTCTTGGCTCCTTGCGAAGCTCGAAACGTTCACGCTCACAAAGTCC